ATATTTATTCACCCAAACCATATTTGGTATCAATGTTATACCTAACAGGTTTTTTCTTTTTACATATCTCAGTCACTTAATAAACAGTACTATGACATTTTATGTACATTTTTATATCCTATCCAATACAATCTATACATTCTATTTCTATACTATCTACATCTATTTTATACGCTTTCTTTTTTTATTTCTATTGTCTATCCAATGATACCATTTCTCCCATATTGCATAATTGTGACGACCCAGGAAGCAGCACACACGTAATAAATTTCCAAGCGTAAATAAATTTCCTTTAATGTCTCCAACTTGGCTTCACAGTTCAATTGTGCGCAGTTAGAGATGAAACTCTTTCCAAAATAGTCTCCAAAAGAAAGGAATACAGTCCAAACTCAAAGAACAGATAACGGAGCAATAAAAAAACCAAAAACAAACCTCACTGAAGAAAGTTCCACGACAGACCAGGATAATTAATTACAAACTTCAAGAAGATAACAAGGCACAGTCCGTTGGAAGAACGCCAACCAAGATAAACTTCAGCCAGGAATAAAACACGCTTTGCTTCTAGCAACGCTGTGTTTTAAATGTCCCTCCTTTATACTCTTCCCCCCAGCTGCAGCCAATGAGGGGGATCATGGCTGCTTCCTCTCCCATAAGCCATGTTGTTCCCTTCTCCGTTCCTCCCTGTGGGCCTTAGGATAATCTTCTTCTGAATGCCAGCCTGTGCTGTTCCCCGGTTTCCTCTACAACCTCCAGAGCCACATTTCCACTCCCTGTCGGCTGTTCCTCCTCTCCCTCGGAGTCAGTCTCCATCAGGGGCATGACAATAATATTCCGAATCTACTTTCCCTTTTAGTTCTATAGTCAATTTATCCATTTCCGCACACTCAAATTTATTTTTTAATTACTAAGCCTTTGGATGGTTTTGCCATCTGTTTTCCAACACTGCGCATAGGCAATTCTTGCTGCTGTTAATGCATATAACACCAAATACTTTATCTTTCTATTGTATTTCCTTTTGATTATCCCTAGAAGAAATAATTCTGGTACAAAAAAAATCTAATTAATTAATCCAATTAATTCCTGTAACCACATTTGTATTTCTTCCAATATTTTTTCACTTCAGGGCATAACTATCAGTTCTTAACTTCTGCCTTCCTAATGGAGGTGTGACTGGCGTGGAGTCGGAACCGACTTTGGAGAAGCCTCAGATCCTCCTGGATTTGAAGTCGATCTGAAGTCGATTCTTCCTCAGGTTTCCCTCCTTGGAAGTTTGTGTTCTGGACAACACAACATAGATTTATGAACCGGAATTATTTTTACTTGGAATTATGCCAAGAAGATATAGTGAAGAGGAGATTTATCTAACAGTGCACATTATCACGGCAGCAAGAAGGACTTTTCCCCCCAAAATGGAAAGGTTAGAGAAATTCCCGACGAAGGTGAGGTGATAAAGAAGATATTGATATGTGCTGAAATGGACAGATTGACTCTGGAATTAAAAAAAAACTAAGGATGAGACAGAATTTTATCAATGGTCGGAAAAGAAAGGAAGGACCCAGAATAAAAAAATAAACAGGGTTTGTAGAAGGGGTAATTACAGATTAAAAACTAACTGTACAAATGTATATGAGATGTATGACAAAAAGGAATGTCAGGACGATCCCAAGTGTCCAATGTTTTAATAATTTAATCAATCAAATATGTTAAAAAAAGAAATAAAATAAAACGCAAACATACATCCTTCACATTCTAGGCAATTGAACTGAAATCCCCAGATATTGCATTCATATTGCCCTATTCAGTAGAATTCAATAGAGTTACTGCCCTGGGATAGAAGCTGTTTTTTTCAGCCTATTTGTCCTTTTTTTTATTATTATCCTGTACCGCCTGCCAGATGGTAATAGTTCAAAAAAAGGGTGCCCAAAATGTGGTCAACAAAAACTGTAACTATAAGTCCAATCAAGGCAAGATGAGGTAATTAGTCCAGAAGGGCAAGAGAAGGAATTCCAGATGTGAAGGAACGGCAGTAATTCAACCCAGTTGGGAAGGCGCCAGGAACGCAGATAACCCAAGTCAACACATGATAAACTCACATTTGTTCCCAGCAGGTGCCACTCTCAGCTTGCATCTCTTTTAAACTCTCATTCCCAGGTGTGGCTAATGAAGTGAATCAGGGCCTTTTCCTCGCCCGTAAGCCACGCGCACCCATGTTGCTCCCTTCTCCGTTCTTCCCTGCGTGCCCTAGGATAAAGAGGGGGTGGGCCTGGGTCTTCCTCTGAACCCCCTCTCCCTTGTTCTCCCTCTCCCCTGCTCTGCCCAGCCGGACTTTGCCTGTCTCCAGTTTCCTCCACAGCCAACGGAGCCACACACTCCCACTCCGTGAATTCAGACTCCGACAGGGGCAGGACACACTGGGTGTCCTTTATTGCCCTTGTTGCTAGCATGACCTTCCCTGGTCTTATCCCCCACCCCCCGCCCCAATCCCCCATCCCCAAAGAGTCCCCGAGAGGCCCATGACCCTCAGCACCAGCCGATGGGGTTGCCCCATCGGGGAGACCAACCGTGTTTTCCTTTTGACTCCCCCCACGCAGGAGACTTTGAGATTGTGAACAGCGCCACCAAGAAGCACACTCGCGACGTGGGCTTGACTTTCCCCACCCCGACTGCAAGCCAAGACACGCTCCACGGAGGCTCTAGGAGCAGGGCAGAGCAGGGGCTGGCTCAGCACCATGGGCTGTCGGCAGAAAACGAGGAGCAGCGGAAGTGGCAGCCGGGCAGCTTCCTGGAAGGGAGGAGGCCTAGAAGGAGACAGTCGCAGTGGACGCAAGGTCTCTGTAAAGGCTGTGTGTGTGTGTGTGTGTGTGTGTGTTGGACTGTATCGGTTTGGGCTGCGTTGCAAGAGCCAGTGTGGTGCAGTGCCAAACCTGCTGGACTAGAGACCGGGCGACGGTGAGTTCTAGTCCTCTCTGGCTCTCAAAGCTGGCTGGGTTTTATTCTAGGTATCCCTCTCTCTCTCTCTCTCTCAGCCCAGCCCACCACCTAAGGTTTGTAGAGAAAAAAGGAGGTGGGAGCATTGGGGACACACACTTGCCTTCACCTTCTTCTTTTAACAAACCCATCATCCCTTGCGGGGTGGAGTCTGGGCTACTGAACGGAGCTAGCAGAGAGTTTTACTGGCCAGATGCCCTTCCTGTCGCCAGTGCGGAGTTTTGTTCGGCAGGTCTGTTCTCATTGTGCCCAGAGAGAGAGAAATATCTGTCTCTACCCAGGATCGAACTTACAAGCCTCCTGATTAGTGAGGCGAGAGCTCCACCTCCACGCCACTGCACCGCTCAGGTACACACACACACTGGCTTGAGTTGTAAAAAAAACCACAGATGGGATCTGAGTCTTAAGAGATAAATAGCATCCACCATTTTGTTTATGTATCCAATTATTTACTTTTATCCCACTTTTTTTATTTTCACGAAGGCTCTAAACATATTCCCTTCTCCTGCTGTCTCTCTCACAACAGCCCTGTGAGGTGGGTTCGGCTGAGAGCCACTCGGCAGTTTTCATGACCGAAGTGGGACTAGAACTCACCGTCTCCTGGTCATTGGCCTGAATGCCTAAGGCAGGACTAGAACTCCCATTTCCTGCTTCCTAGCCAGGTGCCCCCAACCACTAAACCAAACCGGCTCTAGACATAATATCTGGAACATTTAAATAAAGAAACGTTATAGGACAGGAACTAGCGAAAGAGCTGGGCAGAGATTCGAGAATTTAATTTGAGACAAATGAAACGCCTCAATCTGAACAACCTTGGACCCGAATGCGTAGATGGGGAATGGAGGAGGCCAGAAGGTCAGTTTTGAAAGGCTCCAAATTCAAGGAGATAAATCATTCGGACCCGGAATCCCAAAATCAAGGGGTGCCTGCAAGGTGACGTAGATGGTTTCATACCAGGGTTTTTCCAACCTTAGCTTCTTTTAAGATACGTGGACTTCAATTCCCAGAATTCCACAGCCAGCTTTCTGGGAGTTGGAAGTCCACCAAAAAGTGGCCAAGATTGAAAAATCCTGATCTAGAACAAATCTGCCTGACTGAAAACCTGTTGGACCTTCCGCCTGAATCCGACAGCCACTGAGAGGCCAGAGCCCCCCCCCATTCCAAGTCCCGGTCAGCCATCTTGGCAAAGACCATCGAAACCACCGTTGGTGTACATGTCCAAGAGCAAAAAAACCCAATACCGGACAAAAATACCTACATGGTTAGAAAAAATGATAAAGCACATACTTGTATGTTTGTTCGTGTTTTAATCTTTTGTAAATAAAGTCTATTTTAAAACTTAAAAAAAAAAATGAGAAAGCAACATATGGATGTAAAGCCAGAAATATTTCTGTTAGGTATATTACCTGAAAAATATGATAAAAGGGGCTGTATATTTAATATTACATGTGTTGGCAGCAGCAAGAATTGTATTTGCACAATATTGGGAAAAATGAGGGAATTCCAACAGATGAAAATACAATTTTAAAAAAATATTAGACTGCAGAAACGGATCGGTTAATGTTAAAGATAAAGGAGAAAGAAGACACAGAATATATTTTTAACATGTTATTTGTTTTACAAATGGTTAGATAATAAAGATAGAAATAAGAAGTTGGAAGAATACTATTATTTATGAGTAAATATTGTTATTAGTACTGATGTTATGTATAAGTAAGTTGAGTCAGACAATAGACTGTATTAGCATTCATGTGTGCTAAAGAGTGTGTGTGTGTGTGTGTGTTGGGATTCAAAGTTTTTTAGTACCAGTTCGGTGGGCGTGGCTTGGTGGGCAATGTGGCAGGGGAAGGATATACTGCAAAATCCCCCTTCCCTTCCCACCCCACTAACCTGCTTTCCAGCTCTGTTCTCCTGTGCAGGGCAACCAAAGAAGACCCAGCCGTTCAGCTGTGACTCAATGGGAGGCAGAGAAGAGATGGGGTTGGCGGGGCCAGTCAGAGGCAGGATTGGCCGGTTCTCCCAATACAACCTCTGATCTATCTATCTATCTATCTATCTATCTATCTATCTATCTATCTATCTATCTATCTATCTATCTATC